AGAAGGGGGATAAAAACGAACGGCAAATGAGGTAGAACCTTCGGCCAGCAGGCCTAACGACAAACTGTGTCGCGATTGCTTCATAGTCATCTCCCTCACATTGCCTCCTCCGTTATAAGCCTCCTTGTCACTTCCCAGCCTCATCCCTTTCATACCGCACCTGAAGCATTCGAATTCCAGGTCCACTGTATGTTCATTATGACGAATGATTTGGGACTAGAACAACGCGCGTGAACTTTTCTTTACGAATGGATAGCTCACAAGGTACAACGAGTCAGTGTATTTTATATTGGACGGTCTGGAGCAGATACAAAGTTCTCTCGACAAGAGAAACGTCCATTCTTCAAGAAGCCAAACCATGCCAACACACTGTTAGCGCATCTGGATACTGATAAAACAGATCGATTTGGACTTTTAGATAACCATTGTCCACGACATCATTGGCGCCATGCTCTTCGATCACGACAATGCGATGGTCATACGCTTGGTAGACTTCTGCCCGCCTTCAAACCCGATCTTACAAATGCTTAGAAAGTGAACATTTAACCACGTCGTCTATTCAAGTTACTCGTTGGCTACATCACAAATGGGGCCTTTTCCTATTGTTGTGCACCAAGAATACAGCACCCTTTGGAAAATATCAAAGACTAGCGATAAATTACTGACTCACCTAGTGAGCCTGAAAGAGTACTGAAACCTAGTGACATGTATTACTACCTAGAGACTACCATGAAACCTAGTTAATTATTATCACCTCAATGATCATTTTTAGTGTCAATACTAATAACTAATAAATGGGTACGTGATGATGATTGTTAAACTACAAAACTGCCAAGACACCTTCTTTGGCAACAGTATGTTGCGAGGTGTGTCTGGGGGTGAACGCAAACGCTTGAGATGGAGTTCGGTATGAAGTAAATGGCCATCATGGACGAGATCAGTACTGAGTTGGACTTTTTGTTCGGACACGAACGGTAGGGCAACTGCTCGTTAGCTGTCAGGTAGTACTTCGTGGTGCCCTTGTATAGATTAAACCACTTTTCGTCTATATGCACCGTATCGTGCATGTGATGCATGCGGTACATTCGACCACCTAAATAAAACAATATTAAACTATTTTGTTAGACTAAAGCCAATAATTATTTTTAACCCTTTCGTGAACGGGTATGGCTATATTATAGCTTAGAAGGTCAAGTCATTAGGCCATCAAAGGGGGCATTTTGCCCCCTTTCATAAACTACGGTACTACAGCAAAGCTTCTGCAATCCTTGTAATTCAAGTAGAAAGGGCGAATCCGCCTTGTCCACACACAAAAAATAATGAAAGGGGGCATTTTGACCCCATTCGTGGGTGACGCGAGTGGTGCTCAAGAATACGCCATCCAAAGGGGGCAAAATGCCCCCATTGAGCGCGAAAGGGTTAAAGTAAATTAAAAGTAATATATATATATACACGTTACGATACCTAATGGCAAGTCCACATACACTGGAGGCGCTTCGTCTTATGACCCGCTGTTAATGCCGGTTTCACTCGCAATGCAGCACGGCGTAGTGTACCGTCAGCAAGGTAGCGTTGTAGTGTAGTCCGGGGTATACCGGATGCTGCTGCTAGTGAGCGCTGGGTTTGGCGTTGGCAAAGCGGTACAGCTTGTACCAGCTGTACTACCTCATCAAGTGCCAAGCGCCTGCCCCGCTTAAGCGCTGTCTTTGTAGAGGCAGAAATAACGTCCACCTTGCCACGAATTCCCCACATTTTCTTGACACTATTGCGGCAGAGGCCAAATTCCTCCATAGCCGCGCACACAGACCCCGGAGTAGCTTGCCGCGGACACTGCGCTCGGCAAGGAACAACACTACGCGAAGTCGTATTGCAGGTGGGATGTCCTTTTTTTCGGGGGTTCTTGGCATTGGCGTGAGTGGGATATTGGAGTTTGCGGAATAAGCGTTCACCAGTGTCAGAATTAGTGGTCGGGAGACAAGTATAAGAACTTGTCACTTTTTATCCAATAAAAACAATTTACTCGGTTATGTGCGATTTATTAAAATCCCAATCGTCCTTTTGAAGCGGGCCAGAGAAGTAATAGCCAATGCGTTCTATTTTGTTTCTGTTGGTTCCTTCTATGCTGTCAGGTTTATTTCCGCGAATCACCATGTTTAAGTTACAGTATCGCTCCGATCTCGATTATGCGAGCGATATGCTCTGCATTTCCTTGTACCGCATATGACCTGTAAGTGTCTGACCATTTCATTTTTATCAGAAGAGGGTAAATATTGCTGTGATGTGGTTACCTGAATGCGACCACTTAAGATAACCAACGGACATCAACATCCAACCGAAGACTACTTGTGGTGACGTCTCGAGGTATTAGCGACTTTGGCAAATAGGATCAGCAAAGACTGCTTCTTCGCTGCGGTCTGAACAGACTCAATATTTCGTTGACTCTCGTTCCCGCATCTTTATTACATGTAGATTTTCATACGATTTGATTACCATGCGCACCTTTATTATTATAATATCTGGCGCTAGTAATAAGCGCACGTTTATCGTGTTAGATAAAGGTGCTGTATGCTTAGAGAGCCTTTTTGAGCATACTTGATCTTTTAAATTCTGCAGGGAATATGCTAGTAGATGGGTAATTAATCAGTAGGTTCACAGGGCTCGCTGCATAAGCGTTCTAAAACAAAACGCGTTATAACTCCTTGCTTGTTTTTGTATAGTCTTAAATG